GCCAGCCAATTAGCTCTCCTCTGGCATTGTGAGGCATTCAGAGCATGAAAAAGGAGAAATGGGAAAGGTGTGTGTGTGTGTGTGTGTGTGTGTGTGTGTGTATGTCTTTCTCCTTTCTGAGGTTTAGAAAAGGAGAAAGTGGAGACAGGCAGACTTGGCTGCCATCCGGAGGTGCACCCTCTTCTCCTTCATCCAGAATCCCCACCATTTCTTCAGTGTGCTTTCCAGAATTGATCCTGGGCGGTGGGCTCAGGCTACAGATCACACTGAGAAACTTCCCAAAGCAGTCGGACACATTCTCACCTGCAAAGCTTGCTTACTGTCAACCCTCCAAAGCTGTAAACTAACATAAATGCTGGATAGTTGCCAAACGCCCAAAATAGCATGCAGTTATGGGAGAGCCAACCATTGGAAATTCAAATCCTTTTTGTGTTTCGTTGCAGTTTTCGACAGAGGCTAAGTGATGGGTCAAGGATCTCTTGCAAAGTAGCTTGGGCTCAGAGCAGTGGTTCTCAACCTGTGGGTCGGGACCCCATTTGGGGTCGAACGACCATTTCACGGGGGTTGCCAAACAACGCAGTCCGCCATTTTTCCCCCCTTTTCCTTAGCTGTGCTACTCCCTTTTATTCGAATAGACTCTCTTGAATAGAGTCTAATTCAAAAGCCAATAGGAATTGTCCAGGCTGTCTCTGCCCTGCTGAGCCCGCCAAAAGTCCCATTTTGCAAATGGTGCTGCACCAGTTCAGTAGTCCTCGACTTACGACCGGTTGAGTAGTCCTCGACTTACAACTGGTTGGGGGTCACGGCATTAAAAAGGTTGAGAACCTTAGCCTTAGAGAAAGGTAAAGATGGGTCTAAGCTTACCCAGTGTGTTCTGTGGTCAAGGTTAAACCACATGATGAATGACGGAGAGAAGTGGGTATGTCTAGATCAGGGGTAGGCAACCTTGGATCTTCTATGACTCGTGGACTTCAACTCCCAGAATTCCTGAGCCAGCCACGCTGAGGGGAAAGGGAGAGGTTTCCAAGCTGAGCCAGGCTGGCTCAGGAATTCTGGGAGTTGAAGTCCACCAATCATAAAAGAGCCAAGTTGCCTACCCCTGGTCTAGTCTAATGAAGAGAAGGACTAGAGGTGAGATGATAGAAGAGCAACAAAGATGATCAGGGGACTGGAGGCTAAAGCATATAAAGAACGGTTGCTGGAGTTGGGTCTGTCTAGTTAACTGATCAAAGAGAGAAGCAACCTGGAATTAAGGAGGAACTTCCTGACAGTGAGGACAAACAACCAGTGGAACAGAAGTTGTGGATGGTCTATCACTGGAGGTTTTTAAGAAGCGACTGGACAATCACCTGTCGGAGATGGTATAGGTTCTCCTGCTTGAGCAGGGGGCTGGACCAGAAGACCTTTAAGGTCCCTTCCAGTTCTATTCTATTCTATTCTATTCTATTCTATTCTATTCTATTCTATTCTATTCTATTCTATTCTATTCTACATTCTATTCCACATTCTATTCCACATTCTATTCTATTCTATTCTATTCTATTCTATTCTATTCTATTCTATTCTATTCTATTCTATTCTATTCTATTCTATTCTATTCTACTCTACTCTACTCTACTCTACTCTACTCTACTCCATTCCATTCCATTCCACTCACCCCACCCCACCTCACCCCACTTTTCTACTCTACTCTACTGTACTCTACTCTACTCTACTCTACTCTACTCTAATGAAGAGAAGGACTAAGGAGTGACATGATAGTAGTGTTCCAGTATTTGAGAGGCTGCCACAAAGGCAAGGGGGTCAACCTATTCTCTAAACCACCAGAGGGCAGGACAACAAGTAAAAGATGGAAACTGATCAAGGAGAGATCCTAACTAGAATTAATTAATTCTGTTACTCTTTAATTAAACAACGGAAGGGACTTGGCTCCTAGACATTGTGGGTGCTCCATTACTGGAGATTTTAAAGAAGAGATTGGACAACCATTTGTCTGGAATGGTGTAGGGCAGGGGTAGGCAACCTTGGCTCTTTTATGACTGGTGGACTTCAACTCCCAGAATTCCTGAGCCAGCCACGCTGAGAGGAAAGGGAGAGGTTTCCAAGCTGAGCCATGCTGGCTCAGGAATTCTGGGAGTTGAAGTCCACCAGTCATAAAAGAGCCAAGGTGGCCTACCTCTAGCCTAGACCTAGGCCGCTTTATGACTGGTGGACTCCAACTCCCAAAATTCCTGAGCCAGCATGGCTCAGCTTGGAAACCTCTCCCTTTCCCCTCAGCGTGGCTGGCTCAGGAATTCTGGGAGTTGAAGTCCACAAGTCATAAAAGGGCCAAGGTTGCCTACCCCTGGTATAGGGTCTCCTGCTTGAGCAGGGGGCTGGACTAGAAGACCTCCAAGGTCCCGTTCAACTTTATTATTCAATGTTTTATTTCTAATAGGACTGGATATGTCAAACTAATCCTAACATTAAAATAAAGAATATATTTTATCAAGTACTCCTGCATGTTCATCTTCATAATAGTGGAACAGTCAAACAAGTCTTCCCAAGCTTCTATACAAGAAAAAACACCTTTTAGAAGAGGACTAACAGGGGGAAAGGAGACCACCATGAAATCAGCTTCAGGGGTGTTGTAAATCAGTCTATGAAATTACTTCTTTCATAGACTCTAGGAAATACAGAACATAGTTATCTATCATCCACACCATCCACACCAGCAAAGCACAACAACCACACATGTTTTTGTTTTTTTCCCCATTACAGATCAGAGTTGGTTCCTTTGTCACACCCAACTCAAGTGTAAACATTGGGACATGATTGAGGAGAACTAACCATTCAAGCAGACCGGATTTGTTAAATCAAAAGAAAAAAAAGAAAAAAAAAGGGCCATAGTAACTATACAGCTTAAGTATCCATCTAAATGCAGATGAGCTTATGATGGAGATGTGTTCTCTCTACCTATATATTAACACGTGCACGCACATACAAATCAAACGGATCACATTCCACTTATGAATTCAGTGGCATGGCGTCTGTAATTTTAACAGCATCTTTGCTGAATGTAAACATCGGACCAGCTTCACAGACTCTCTTAAAAATTATTCAGTTTGGAAGCTGATCTCCATCCGTAGTCTTTCCCTTGCTCTCCAAAAGAAAACAGCCACAAAAGTTGTGGAACCTTTTTTTTTTTCCTCATCTAGGTTCATAAGGAAGAACCCCCTTCCATGTGTTTCACCTAATGTATTTCCTAGAACAGTGGTGGCGAACCTATGGCACGGGTGCCAGAGGCGGCACTCAGAGCTCTCTCTGTGGGCACGTGTGCCGTCGCCCCAGCCCTAGGCCTTCAGCTGGGTTTTATAAAACTTTTTCACTTTGGCGGACTAGATTCCAATTAATTTACTTTATATGAAATATGATATTTTGTAATGTTATTAAGTTAGGGAGATTTATTTATTTATGAGACTTATATACCGCTTTAAGTGCAAGCACTCTCTAAGCGGTGTACACCAGTAAGCAATGTATATATATATTTACATTGCCCCCAACAATCTGGGTCCTCATTTTACCTACCTCGGAAGGATGGAAGGCTGAGTCAACTTGAGCCGGTGAGATTTGAACCGCTGACCTGCTGAACACAGTCAGCTAAAGTGGCCTGCAGTACTGCACTCTAACTGCTGCGCCACCTCGGCTCATAATGATTGGTTTATTAATTGTGAAAGAAACAGAAGTTGTGAATTATAGATAAAATAAAATAATGGCAAATTGGTAGGATTGTAATGACAAAGAAATTATTTTAATGTTAAATTTAATTATAGTGGTATGGTTGTTAATAGGATAGTATTGGAAGAAGGTTTTTTTTTTCTTTCTTTTTCTCTTTCTGTTTTTCATACATAATGGAGTTAAAGTACTTCATAATTCGTTTATTGAATGTAATTATATTTGTTTGAGGTTTATTGGAGTTTAAAAGTTTTTCCTTTTAAGTTCTAGTTAACCCTGTATTCAGCTCTGGGAAGAGGGGGGGAAGGTTTCGGGGGGGTTGGGAGGGATTGGGGAAGGGGTTTTTTAATTGTAAAATTGTAAAAATTTATAATAAAATCAAATAAAACTTTTTCACTTTAGGCCTCCACTGCCGTGTACAAAAAAAAAAAAAAAAGGTTCAGTCAATTTCAACTTGTCGCGGGAAAAAAAAGATCTTGCAAAGTTGGAATTGATTGATTGAACTTTTTAGTCCCACCCAGTCTGCCGTTACCACTGCAGCCATGCCCACCCAATGGGCCATGCCCTCCCAATGGGCCACACCCACCCAGCACCCGACGATGCATAAGTGGGTTTTGGGATGCAGTTTGGGCACTCGGTCTCTAAAAGGTTCGCCATCACTGTCCTAGGTCAGGGGTAGGCAACCTCGGCTCTTTTATGACTCGTGGACTTCAACTCCCAGAATTCCTGAGTCAGGAATCCTCCAAGGTCCCTTCCATCTTTATTACTGTTATTATTAGAACTCTGAAGATCACATCTGACCAGCTTCCGTTTCCTCCAAACACAGCCCCTTGCCAGCCACCCCAGCAAATTACATTGGCACTTTTGTTTTTGTTTTGTCAATCAAAAACAGTGGTTCTCAACCTGTGGGTCAGGACCCCATTTGGGGTCGAACAACCATTTCATGGGGGTTGCCAAACAACGCAGTCCGCCATTTTCCCCCCCTTTTCCTTAGCTGTGCTACTCCCTTTTATTCTATTGGCTTTTGAAAGCCAATAGAATAGGCTCTCTTGAATAGAGTCTAATTCCATTGGCTTTCAAAAGCCAATAGGAATTGTCCAGGCTGTCTCTGCCCTGCTGAGCCCGCCAAAAGTCCCATTCTGCAAACGGTGCTGCACCAGTTGAGCAGTCCTCGACTTACGACCGGTTGACTAGTCCTCGACTCACGACCGGTTGGGGGGGGTCGCGGCATTAAAAAGGTTGAGAACCACTGATCAAAAAGAAACAAACAAACCCACTTGACTTACACATCAGTTTCATCCCAGACAATGCAGGTTTGGTTTGTGGTTCCCTGTTTGGAGAGAAAAGGAGACAAAAAAAAAAAAATTAATAATAATCAGTGCGCAATTTCCCAGAGAGATGCTCATACCAATGAGAAACAATGCATATCCTCCATCCATGTTTGTGGATGTGTGTGTCTCCTCATAAAAAAACAACCCTACATTTTGACATCTCCTTCTGATTAAATTCAAATGACAGGGCAGGATCTGTCAGCTTCCACACTAGGGGAAACACAGTTAGGAGTTCCTTCTAGGTTGTCAGCAGACAAGCTTGCATCCTCTGCTCAAATGAAAAATAGACATTATTTGTGGATTCTAGGCCACCATAAAGACTGTGGCTTCCTCTTGCTTTTAAAAAGTTACCTATCCAGGAGAGGCAAATGGAAAATCTGCAGTAGGTGTTTATCTGAGATCAGCACTATTGTAGAGAGACCTGGGAAGCCATAGAAGACAATATTTGTAGCAGCTCATGGTTCAGCTCCTTTCTGATCTCTGAGCTTGGTTATTTCTTTGCAGTTGTTTTGTGACCCAACTAGGTAACATCCTCATTGCTAGTAGGGAGTGAGGTTTGCAGAGATGAGAAGGAGGAGGAGGAGGAGAAGGAGAAGGAGAAAAGGAAAAGGAGAAGAGGAGAAGGAGAAGGAAGAGAAGGAGGAGGAGGAGGAGGAGAAGGAGAAGGAGAAGAAAGAAGAGGATAAGGAGGAGCAGGAGGAGGAGGAGAAGGAGAAGGAGGAGGAGGAGGAGGAAAAGGAGAAGGAGAAGGAGGAGGAGGAGGAGAAGGAAGAAGAGGAGAAGGAGGAGCAGGAGAAGGAAGAGAAGGAGGAGGAGGAGGAGGAGAAGGAGAAGGAGAAGAAAGAAGAGGATAAGGAGGAGCAGGAGGAGGAGGAGAAGGAGAAGGAGGAGGAGGAGGAGGAAAAGGAGAAGGAGAAGGAGGAGGAGGAAAAGGAGAAGGAGAAGAAGGAGAAGGAGGAAAACTGTGGGATCCATTGTACTCTCTGAGTTTGGTTGTTTTCTTGCAGACATTTCAGTACCCAACTAGGTTATATCATCAATGCCAGAAGGGACTGGGGCTTGCAGAAAGGAGGAGAAGAAGAAGGAGAAGTGTGAGTTTCTTGCTGCTTTCTGAGCTTGGTTGTTTTCTTGTAGATATTTCATTCACCCAACTAAGTAGCATCATCAGAGCTAGAAGGGAACGGGTTTGTGAGGAGGAGGAAGAAGAGGAGGAGAGCAGGAGGGGGGCTGTGGGTCTTTGATACTCTCTGAGCTTGCTGGTTTTCTTGCACACATTTCATTTTGCAAAAGAGTGGGGTTTGTGGGGGGGAGGAGGAGGAGGAGGAGGGCTGTGGCTGTTTGGTACTCTCTGAGCTTGGTGGTTTTCTTACACACATTTCATTCACCAATTAGGTAGCATCATCTGTGCACTTTCCGTAGTCCACATAGCTGGATAATGAAACGTCTGCAAGAAAACAACCCAGCTCAGAGAGCACCAAGGACCCCATAGTAGTTCTCCTCTTCTTCTTCTTCTTCTTCTTCCTCCTCCTCCTCCTCCTCCTCCTCATTTTGCAAACTGCACTCCCTTCTAGCGCTGATATTGTTATCTAGTTGGGTCATGAAACGTCTGCAAGAAAACCACCAAGCTCAGAGAGCACCCAGGACCCCACAGTAGTCTTCTTCTTCTTCCTCCTCCTCCTCCTCCCCCCACCCCCCCTTCCCACAAACCCCATTCCCTTCTAGCACTGATGGTGTTACCTAGTTTGGATAATGAAACGTCTGCAAGAAAACAAGCAAGCTCAGAGAGCTCCCAGAACCCTAGAGCTGGGAAGTCTGAGCCAATTTGTTCCCTTTCTTGTCACGTTTCTTTCTCCTGTGGCCTCGGGTGGGGTGGGGGCACTGAAAAGAAGCACTGAAGGAAGTTCTCAAGAAGGTCCTGTAGAGATGAAAGACGTTGTCTCTGTGCCCACAGTAGAAAACATAGACTTTAACCTTCAGCTAAGGTTGATGCAGAGATGAAAACAAAGACCCTCAAACTGGAAAGATGATCCATACTCTTTTCTTGGACACGCTCAGAAAGTGCCTGGTTGACCACTGCTTCTTCAAGACTAGTGTTTGAATCCTCCATATAGCCCTGCGTGGTCCCCACTCAAGTGCTAACCAGGAATATCTCTACATACCGTAGTGGCCAAAATTCTGGAAACCTTTTGGGAAAAGTATATTTTTGAGGTTTGATGGCTAATAACACCACTTTTTTGGAGTAGTACCATAAAATTATATATCAATGGAAAGATAATTTAATCAAGAATGTAATGCAACAAAGTTTGTTCAATTATCTGTACTGTATTCTATGAAAAGGTATAGCCAAATAACCAGAAAAAGGAAGCACAACTTGCTTAGGTTGATCTCAGGTAGCTTTCCTTCCTCTGATTGTAGCCAATGAGCGTGAGTGTTTAGAGAGCCAATCGGGTGTCATCTTGTTTTGGCAATGAGCCAATCAGATCACAGTAGGATCCAGTTATTGATGTTATGGATTGAAGCTGAGAGGAGGACATTGGTCAGTATGTTATGTGATCGCTATCAAGTTGGTTGGGGTTTTTTTGTGTTCTTTCGTTTAGCGAGCTTGCAAAACGTAATAAAATTAAAATAATGGTGCAAAGAGTTGACTGGTTGCCCAGAAACCAATGTAAAATGGTATTATTGAGTGAACAAGGCTACAGTTATAAAGAAATTAGAAGAAAAATGGGTGGAAACTTAACCAAAGGTGGCATTTCTAGCGTACACGTTTCCCAAAAGGTTTCTACAATTTTGGACACTACTGTAGCTTCCAAGATCAGCCTAAGTCAACTGAATGCTGCTATTGATGTTCATTGCATTAAAACCATTCCACAAAATTAATTTTTATTTTCTTCTTGACTTACCACGGAAGTCACAGAATGACAAGATATCATAATTGCATAAACAATCTTTGTGTTCAGCAAAATTTTCAACCGAGAGAAATTTTTTTGTTTCAGTTCTAAGTTCTATTCCTACTCAAAATCCCTCCCATCTAAGGGAATCTAAGTCAGGAACGACTTACGTTATACAAATGGGAGAATTCAATTTCCATCAGGGCAACAAGGGATTGAGGTTCTGGCTTCACCGTCACAGAGATGATGCGTGAATTGAGTACTGTGGCATTCCTAGAAGGAAGGGAGAAAATAGATAAATAATGAAAGATGGAAGGGTCAAGAGAAGAATAGTTCTTTTAGTGATTCCTTCAAAGAATTTAGAGCTCCCTTTCCCACATAATGGACAGAAGTCAACTGGAAAGAAGGACTAGGGCAGGGGTAGGCAACCTTGGCTCTTTTATGACTTGTGGACTTCAACTCCCAGAATTCCTGAGCCAGCACGGCTCAGCTTGGAAACCTCTCCCTTTCCCCTCAGCATGGCTGGCTCAGGAATTCTGGGAGTTGAAGTCCACGAGTCATAAAAGAGCTGAGGTGGCCTACCTCTGGCCTAGGCCTAGGCCGCTTTATGACTCGTGGACTTCAATTCCCAGAATTCCTGAACCAGCATGGCTCAGCTTGGAAACATCTCCTTTCCCCTCAGCATGGCTGGCTTAGGAATTCTGGGAGTTGAAGTCCACGAGTCATAAAAGAGCCAAGGTTGCCTACCTCTGGCCTAGGCCGCTTTATGACTCGTGGACTTCAATTCCCAGAATTCCTGAGCCAGCACGGGGAACTATGATCCCTTCACAACACGTGGACTTCAACTCCCAGAATTCCTGAGCCAGCATGGGGGAACAGTGGCCCCTTCACGACTTGTGGACTTCAACTCCCAGAATTCCTGAGCCAGCATGGCTCAGCTTGGAAACCTCTCCCTTTTCCCTCAGCTTGGCCGGCTTAGGAATTCTGGGGGTTGAAGTCCACGAGTCATAAAAGAGCCAAGGTTGCCTACCCTTGGACTAGGGGGTGATAGTGTTTCAATGTGCAAGAGGTGTCACAAAGAAAATGGGGTCAACCCATTTTCCAAACCACCTGAGGGCAGGAAAAGAAGCAATGGATGGAAACCATTGCTCCAGAATGGTGTAAGGTCCTCTGTTTGAGCAGGAGGTTGGACTAGAAGACCTCCAATGTCCCCTTCCAACTCTGTTATTTTGTTATTCACATTCATAAACTCATCAAGGAGAGAAGCAGCCTAGAACTGAGGAGAAATTTCCTGACAGGGAGAACAATTAATCAGTGGAAAGACTTGCCTCCAGATGTTGTGGGTACTCCATCACTAGAGGCTTTTAAGAACAGATACTCAAGTAGGAAACCCTATACCATTTCAGACAAATCATTGTCCAGTCTCGTCTTAAAAAGTTCCAGAGTTGGAGCATTCACTGATTCTGGAGGCAGGTTGTCCCACTGGTTAATTGTTCTCACTGTCAGGAAGTTTCTCCTTAGTTCCAGGTTGCTTCTCTCCTTGGTGAGTTTCCATCCGTTGCTTCTTGTCCTGCCTTCAGATGCTTTGGAGAGTAGCTTGTCTCCCTCTTCTTTGGGGCAGCCCCTGAGATACTGGAAGACTGCTATCATGTCCCCCCTCGTCCTTCTCTCCATTAGACTAGACATTCCCAATTCCAGCAACCGTTCCTTGTATGTTTTAGCCTCCAGTCCCCTAATCATCTTTGTTGCTCTTCTTTGCACTCTTCTAGAGTCTCAACAATGTTTTATATCGTGGTGACAAAAACTGGATATTTTGGAATATGTTTACTGTTACTGGAATGTATTACAGTTACTAAAAAATGGATCAAAATGCTATCATAATGTGCTGTTTACAATTTCCCCAATTGTGTGCTGATTTTTAAACTATGCCTGCACATGCTGGGCAAAAGTAGATAAAGAATGTGCATTTTATTATTATTATTTTAATACCATCACTCTCATTTAATACCATTCTTATCATTAATGTATGATCATCACTCTGCAGCTCTCTCGGAGGCCATTAAGAAGAAAGATTCACACTTATGAAATGCCTTATAAATTGGATTTCTGAGACTCCCTCGTGGCTAGCTTTTAAGAAATCCTTAAAGATCACAATTAGTAACCTGAAATCACATTCTGTGCTGGTTATCAGGATTTTTTTTTTAAAAAAAATCATTTTTAAAGAGGGAAAAAATAAAATTAAAAATAAAGCAAAGTATAGTATCAGTAAATCGGTAAAGACTTTGTACAGAAAATGTTCAGTCTGTTGTTGGTGAAAAATTAATCATAAAAATACATCCTTTTTAAGAGTAAAGGAAAGGGACTATAGTGGTTTTATGGAAAGGAGGAGGAGGAGGAGGAGGACGACTGTGGGGTCCTTGGTGCTCTCTGAGCTTTGCTTCCAAATACTTCATTACCCAACTAGGTAAGGTCATCAGTACTAGAAGGAAATGGAGTCTGTAGAGAGGAGGAGGAGGAGGAGGAGGAGGAGGAGGAGGAGGAGGAGGAGGAGGAAGAGAAGAGAAGGAGGAGAAGGAGAAGGAGAAGGAGAAGGAAGAAGGAAGAAGGAAGAAGAAGAAGAAGAAGAAGAAGAAGAAGAAGAAGAAGAAGAAGAAGAAGAAGAAGAAGAAGAAGAAGAAGAAGAAGAAGGGTTGTGTAATGATGGGGAATTTTAACTGGAGACTCTTAACTTTTAACACTACTACCATCCTCATCTTCATTATTAATTTTAATGCTGCAGGTTGCCTTGATGGGATAGCTGTCAGCCAAAGCAACTTCGGGATTATGTAACCGAAGAAAGACACTAAAATTCTAGGCACGTCCCATAAAAAAAATAATGTTTGGTGGAGACAGCTTGGTCGAGGTCTGCAGATGCCTGCCTCAGAAATGAAGGTCTGATCACGTTGTGTGTTCCTTCTTGACCAAAAACGGGGACAAACCAGTGTGGTGGCACTCAGCTGGAGCTGGCTCTTGTGGAGTTTTATGCTCCAAAGTTCTCCATCTCAGCTTGTCTCCAGTGTAGCTCATCCAGCGACACGCCAAGAATGTCATTTTGTCCCTCACCCTTGTTGGCGTTTTGCTTCACTCCGTTGTTTTTCCAGACCATCAGCTGCCCACGCCATGTACCCAAAGTGTGTTCATTTCCGCTGGATTATGATGGTCATCTCCCAGGACCAGACAGCCTGGATTGGCTCAGAACTGAACAACTTGTTCTTCTTGCAGTCCATGGGACTAGGTAGCCCTCAACATACAAGCGCAGCTGTGCCCAAAATTGATAAGCGAGGCATTTTTGAAGAGAGTTTTGCCACATTTTATGACCTTTCTTGTCACAACTATTAAGTGTAGTTGTTAATTTAGTAACAAGGTTGTTTTGAGTGAATCTGGCTTCCCCATGGTGACATGACACTTAGAATACTGTGTCTAGTTCTGGTCACCATGATACAAAAAAGTTGTGGAGACCCTGAAAAGTGTGTAGAGAAGCCCAACAAAGATGATAAAGGGTCAGGACACTAAATAATATGGTGATAAGTTGTGGGATCCTGAAGTTGAAACTCAAATAATTTGGCCACCTAATGAGAAGGAAGGACTCACTGGAAAAGGGCCTAATGCTGGGAAAGATGGAGGGCAATAGAAGAAGGGGACGACAAAGAAGGAGGTGGCTGGATGGAGTCACTGAAGCAGTAGGTGTGAACTTAAATGGACTCCAGAAGATGGTAGAGGACAAGAAGACCTGGAGGAACATTCTCCATGGGGTCGCGATGGGTCGGACACAACTTCGCAATTAACAACAACAACAACAAAGTTGTGGGAGGCTATGGTATATCTAGGGCAGACATGTCAAACTTGCGATGTCATGTGATGTCGCGCAACATATCGGAGCTTTTTCTCCATTGCCAGCAATGGGGTGGGCAGAGTTTCCTGGTGTCATGTCTGGCCCGTGGGGCGATGATTTGACACCCCTGATCTAGGGTATCAAAGGGAATCATAAGGAGGGAAATAATAATAAGAAAAAAATGGCTTTGGAAGAATATCTGAAGAACAATGATGAAGATGCACTGAAATTAGTATATCAAGGAGGCTTACTGATTACTGGAGAGACCAAACTGGCCTACAAGAAAGACCAAATGAAGAACAAAATAGAGGCATGGGAAAACAAAGCACTACATGGCCAATATATTAAAAAAAATAGCTGGGAAAGCAGATATTAACAAGACCTGGCAATGGCTAAGAGCAGGAAAATTGAAGAAAGAGACTGAGGGACTAATTCTGGCTGCACAAGACCAAGCCTTAAGGACAAATGCATATAAAGTCAAAATTAAGAAGACAGCAACAGACAGTAAGTGCCGCCTATGCAAAGAAGCTGAAGAAACAGTGGACCACCTGGTAAGCTGTTGCAAGAAGATTGCACAGACTGACTACAAGCAGCGGCATGACAAAGTAGGAACAATGGTGCATTGGAAGATCTGCAAAAAATATCATTTGCCTGTAAGCAAAAACTGGTGGGATCATAAAATAGAGAAAGTCATAGAAAATGATAAAATTAAACTGCTCTGGGACTTCAGAATTCAAACAGACAAGCACCTGCAACATAACACCCCAGACTTAACAATTGTCGATAAGAAAGACAAAAAAGTCTGGATAGTGGACGTGGCAGTGCCTGGAGACGGCAGAATAGATGAGAAAGAACTGGACAAGATAACAAAATACAAAGACCTACAAATAGAAATAGAAAGACTGTGGCAAAAGCAAGCAAGGGTAGTACCAATAGTCATAGGCTCCTTGGGTGCAATCCCAAAACAACTGGAACACCACTTGAACACCATTGGCATTGACAAATTCGCTATTAGTCAATTGCAAAAGGCAGCCTTACTAGGAACTGCTTCCATCCTACCCTGTAATACCATCAAACATCCACATCTGCCTACCCCAGGTCCTGGGTAAGGACTTGATAGGTAGACAAAATGCCAAATCCAGTCTGAACATCTGGCTGACTGTGCAATGATCCATAATAATAATAATAATAAAGTTGGGAGGGACCTTGGAAGTCATCTAGTCCAGCCCCCTGCTCAGTCAGGTAACCCTATACCATTTCAGATAAATGGCTGTCCAGTCTCTTCTTAAAAAGTTCCAGTGTTGGAGCATTCACAACTTCTGGAGGCAGGTGGTTCCACTGGTTAATTGTCCTAACTGTCAGGAAGTTTCTCCTTAGTTCTAGGTTGCTTCTCTCCTTGATTAGTTTCCATTTGTTGCTTCTTGTCCTGCCTTCAGGCACTTTGGAGAACAGCTTGACTCCCTCTTCTTTGGGGCAGCCCCTGAGATATTGGAAGACTGCTATCCTGTCCCCCCTCGTCCTTCTCTTCGTTAAACTAGACATATCCAATTCCAGCAACTGTTCCTTATGTGTTTTAGCCTCCAGTTCCCTGATCATCTCTGTTGCTCTTCTCTATACTCTTTCTAGAGTAGTTTTGTACTTGAGGGGCTGTCACCAAGAAGAATGGATTGACCTATTCTCTAGGGCACCTGATGGGAGGACAGGAAGTAATGGGTGGAAACTTGTTAAAATGAGATCCAATGTAGATGTAAGGAGAAATTTTCTGCCAGTGGCTTTATATCCTCATTTCATTGCAGAAATCACATGATCTTGATTCTCTCCCTCTGTTAGTGCAGCCTAGGACTTCTTGATGATTGTCCAACTTCATCACTGTCTTCTCCCTAAGATTAATTTCTTCTTTGCTGGTCTTGCACACTGACCTTCTTTATTTCTTCTCAAAGCTAAGAAAAGAAAGCTATCTTCTAGGATCCTTTGGGGGCCATCAACCATACACTAAATTCACTGCGCATGCAGGTTGAAAAACCAGGAACTGTTGAGTAAAATCCCCATGTCTATAAACAACTCCACATGTCGATTGGAGTCCTGGAATTTACAATTGCTCTGTAGTGGTTCTTTTTTTTTTTATCAATCTCTACTTTTCAGCTGAGAGGTGGACACCAAGGTAGTTAATGGATTTGTAGTGAGAATCAAACCAGGGATTTCAGCAACAATTCTGTTGCATTCTCATGATACCTGCATACAATAATCTCCTACGGAAGTCTGCAAAAATAGAGGCAGCTGTAGTTGTTATTGGGCTGGGATCTGCACATCCCTTTGGGAGCACTGGATGGGCTTTTTAGGAGGCGCTGTGGATTCCCTGCTCTGACTGAAAAAGCAAGTTTTCCAACTCTCTGCTGTGGAATGAGGTTTTAGATCTCTCTGAAGGCCATTTTGGATCTATAGGCTCAGTACATCTGAGTCAGCAAGTCATTGCTGAACAGCTACTGCAGTGCAGTGAAGTATGATGTGCAATGAAGAAATAGCAAATAGTGTGTGGAAGTTTCCTCCATTAATTTTCCACAGAGATGTCCTCTCTGGCTGATGTCCTGATGAAGTGGTTCAAAAATGCATCCAGAAAGACCAAAAAAAAAATAAAAAAAAAAATGAGAAGGACATTCATGAAAGTTTTTCTCAAACCTAATGACTTTAAGATGAGTTGAAGTCCACCCATCTTAGAGTCATCAAGGTTGAGAAACCATTGTTCTGCGGGGAAGTAGATAATCGACATCTTATTCAAAGCTGCCAGCGATTCTTCTATGTTGGCAGTTTAGAAGATAATATGAGCTTTTCTTGATTAGGTCCAAATCCCAATAAATTAAATACTCTGCAGTAGACAACAAAAGGCATCTGAGAAGCTCCTCAACAAGGAGAAGAAAGTGAGATCCATCTCACATTGCTTTCTAGAATCAGCTAGGGTTGTCTACAGGGCATAGTCAAAAAACAAGAAGCAAAATAGCACCACAATGGCGTGGTCAATGTCTACCTGTTCTTTATGTGCGATTGCAAACTCAATTTTTTCGCAATAACAAAACTGTTCAGTTTTCTAAATGCAGCTTCCTCTAGATTTAGAGAAGACGCTGATTCATTGGTTTCCTTATTTTCAATTCTCTTCTAATGATTTTAAGACTAGGGCTGGTTTTTCTTGCAACCACCACACATAAATTGTTTTTTTTCCCCCTTGTCTTCTCCTCCCTGATGCCACCATTTTTAATGGCTCCTATTTTGGGATGAGGCTCATGTGTTGAGTCCCATTTGTTGATCCATCAGATGCCTCCTTACCTACTCAAGGGAAGGGAAAATTTTAGAAGCATTTAGCTCTGGTCTTGACTCATAACAGTCTCACCTTGATGTTGTGGTCCTTAAAAAGAGATAGGGAAGAATTTGGACACACTTTCAAGAGTTTGTTAAAGGTAAAGGTTTGCCCTGTCCAGGATCACAATCAGAACAGAGCTAGAAGGGACCTTGGTGGTCTTCTAGTCCAGCCCCCTACTAAAGCAGGAGATCCTATACCATTTCACTGATGGGACGATACTCATGTGTTGAGCCCAATTTGTTGATCCATCAGATGCCTTCTTACCTACTTAAGGGAAGGGAAAAATTTAGAAGAATTGAGCTCTGTGTCCTGTCAAAAACACGAGAGAGAGAGAGAGAGAGAGAGAGAGAGAGAGAGAGAGAGAGAGAGAGAGAGAGAGAGACTCAGACCATGATGAGAGAGAGAGAGAGAGAGAGAGAGAGAGAGAGAGAGCGAGAGAGAGAGAGAGAGAGAGAGAGAGAGAGAGAGAGAGAGAGAGAGAGAGAGAGAGAGACTCATACCAGTCTCACCATGATGTTGTGGTCCTTAAAAAGAGGTAGGGAAGAATTTAGACAAGTCCAGTCCTGTTCAATGGCTGTGAAAGGTGCACCATAAGAAAGGCTGAGCACCAAAGAATTGAGGGCTTTGAACTATGGTGCTGGAGAAGACTCCTGTGAGTCCCCTGGACTGCAAAGCGATCAAACCAGTCAGTCCTAGAGGAGATCAACCATGACTGCTCTTTAGAAGGCCAGATCCTGAAGCTGAAACTCAAGTACTTTGGCCACCTAATGAGAAGGAAGGACTCCCTGGAGAAGAGCCTAATGCTGGGAAAGATGGAGGGCAATAGAAGAAAGGGACGACAGAGAATGAGGTGGCTGGATGGAGTCACTGAAGCAGTAGGCGTGAGCTTAAATGGACTCCAGAAGATGGTAGAGGAGAGGAAGGCCTGGAGGAATGTTGTCCATGGGGTCGCGATGGGTTGGACACGACTTGGCAACTAACAACAACAACAAGTCCTGTCCAACTCTAGGTAGAGGGCCACATCTCCATTTTCTAGCCGAGAAAGCCAAGAGGCTTCCATGGTCATGTGGCCATCATGATTATATGCCAAAGGCACACGGAATACTGTTACCTTCCCACTGAAGCGGTACCTATTTATCTACTCGCATTTGCATACTTTCGAAATGCGAAGCTGAGGTGCAGGAGCTGGGACAAGGAGCGGGAGCTCACCCTGTCGCCAGACGCTTGGGTCTCAAACACAGGCTGTCAGCTTTCCAGCTGAAAAGCTCAGGGTCTTTAACCACTAAGCCATTACACCCCTTTAAAAAAAGTTAGGGAAGGATTTGGCCAGACTTTCAAGAGTTTGTTAATAGACCCTAAAACAATCGAGTCGGCTGGGATATTGAATTTAGTAGCAGAGTAAAATGTACAACTGGCCAAAACACACAGTTGTAGTTGATTAGTGAGGGAGTGCTGACTCATGCATGAGGTAATCTATGCTCTGATTGGTTGGTATAAGTATAAAGGGGGTGTTTCCCTTTTTTCCCGCCTTTTTCTTCTGAGTGTTCTGTGTACCATTTTAGATTTACCTCATGATGTTCCTGTGTTCCTGATTCTCTTCTGTTCTTCCTTTTCCGGATTTAAATGTTAAATATACTTATATTGATATAAAAGGCTACATGTTTGTGTCAGGGTCTCCGAATGCTGCGCAATCCCTTGACAAATTGTCTGATTTTTGACTTCGCTAGCCCAGAAGGCCAGGTTTAATTCTTCTGTTAGCTACAGCCCATATGCCAAAACTCTGCTCAGGAGATCAAATATGCAAGATCAAAGTCACTGTGGCTAGTTCTCATTGAGGATATTCCAAACATAGCAATGGACCATTTCCATCACCTCTCTCCAACTTCATGGATGTTTTATATATATATATCTCCACTTTACCTCTGAAGGCCCAGGATCCCGGCCAAGTTGCGATAAATCACCGTGCCCACCACAAAAACGGAGGAGTCATCAGTGTCTGTGAAGAAGCAAGCAAGAGAAGTGAGAAGAGAAGTGGAACAAAAGAATCACAACAGCAAGTACCAAGAAAAAAGGAGAGGTGGATTTATTTAATAGAATAACAAAGTTGGAAGGGATTTTGGAGGTCTTCTAGTCCAACCCCCTACTCAAGCAGGAGACCCTCTAAAATTTCAGACAAATGGCTGTCCAGTCTCTTCTGGAAAATCTCCAGTGCTGGAGTACCCACAAGTTCTGGTGGCAAGGCATTCCACTGGTTAATTGTTCTCAGTGTCAGGAAATTTCTCCTTAGTTCCAGGCTGCTTCTCTCCTTGATTAGTTTCCATCTGTTGCTTCTTGTCTTGCCTTCTGGTGCTTTGGGAAGTAGGCTGACCCCATCTTCTTTGTAGTAATCCCTCAACTACTGGAACACTGCTATCACCCCTTGTCCTCCATTTGTACAGCCATCCAGCTCAAAACAGTGATTACGGGCAACAAATGATCATCAAAACAATTAAGAGTTAAGACAATGAAAAAGAGAAATAAAATACAATTAGCAACCCAGAGATAATTGCAATTCATTGGACCCACAGGACAAATATGCTTCCCTGATGGTTGCAGATACAAATCCTGCCGCAACGTACAGTGTTGCCAGATATTGCACAACAAGGATCAAAATCGATCAGATGATGACCTGCACCTCAAACCAGCCTTAATGAGTACAGGGAGTCCTCGACTTACAATAGTCCATTTAGTGACCATTCAAAGTTACAACGGCACCTAAAAAAGTGATTTAGGATTATTTTTCATGCTTACAACCATTGCAGCATCACCACAGACACATCCAATCTGGAAACAAGGAGGAATTTCCTGACAGCGAGAACGATTAATCAACGGAACAGCCTACTTCCTGGAGTTGTGGGTGCTCCATTGCTGATGATGTTCGAGAAAAGATTGGACACCCATTGGACAAGCCTTGGCTAGGGGGTTGGACTAGAAGACCTCAAGCTCCCTCCCAGCCCTATGATTCTAAAATGGTCCCCCCCAAACCCCATAAAGGGCTTCACAGGTGACATAGTCCATGCTTCATGTATCCTACACTATCAACTTTATCCAGACATGACGCTTGTAGGAAAAGGGGATTAAGGAAGTTGAATTTGAATTTGCACAGACTGTCATCCACTGACTTCTTGGCCAGCTTGCGGGTGAGGTGTCCATTATAAACGGATTCTTCTGCGTATAAGAGTCATCTAAACACCAGCTCCAATCCACAAAACAAGAATAAAGTGGTTGGCTTTAGCTTTAATGCAATTTGATCTGGAGTTGCTTTTTTGTGTGTTGTTTTGGGACGCAAGAAAGCTGCCTCCATGCAACCTTTGTAATTGAGGGTACTTAAGTCTTTTTTCAATTAGCAATCCTCAACCATCCAGCCTGCCTGCGTCTGATCATCTATTCCCATTGTACCACTGCTGCTCCAATTAAGTGCCTCTTCAATTTAATGTTTTCCTTAAAAAAAGAAAGAAAGAAAGAAACACACTGGCTGCAGCACAATTAGGTTGCCCTGCGCAGATTTGCTAAACCTGTGCCGTGAAGAGACACCATTAGCCCATGGGACAAATACCGTTCGGAAATAGAAGTTGGGAATGAAATGGAAATCAAGCATATCCGGTAGGCTGTGCTTTGTCAGCAGCTTTTTTTTGGGAGAGAATTGGATGGGATGTCCCAAAGGTGCTTTTTCAAGAGGTCACTGGACTTTATTTTTCCTTGATCTTCATCCGAGAAGCTTCTTCAGTTCTGACTGAATGGTGGAGGATGGAAAGATTTATATTCCTTGTAGTCATCTGGTCATTAGTACTCTCCCTGAGAGTGGTTGAGGCCGCTAGGAGGTTTATCTGTGCCCCCAGGGCAGGGGTGGGATTGAAATATCTGAACAACAGGTTCTCTTATTGGATGCAGGCCTGGGCCTCCGAGGCCTAGGACGAACTTCCGGAAGTGGCATCCACGCATTTCTGGCAGGCTGTTCTAGGCCTGGGAGGCCTCGTCCAGGCATCTGAGGCCTAGAACAGACTTCCGCAGTTGCATCCACGCACTTCTGGCAGGCTGTTCTAGGCCTGGGAGGCCTCCTCCAGGCCTCCGAGGCCTAGAGCGGACTTCCGGAAGTGGCATCCGTGCACTTCCGGCGGGCTGTTCTAGGCCTGGGAGGCGTCCTCCTGGCATCTGAGGCTTAGAACAGACTTCCGCAGTTGCATCCACGCACTTCTGGCGGGCTGTTCTAGTCCTGGGAGGCCTCCTCCAGGCCTCCGAGGCCTAGAGCGGACTTCCGGAAGTGGCATCCATGCACTTCCAGCGGGCTGTTCTAGGCCTGGGAGGCGTCCTCCAGGCATATGAGGCCTAGAACAGACTTCTGAAATTGCCTCCACGCACTTCTGGCAGGCTGTTCTAGGCCTGGGGGGCCTCCTCCAGGCCTCCAAGGCCTAGACTGGACTTCCGGAAGCAGTGTGCATTCAGCCTGTTCTCCGAACTCAGCAAATTTTAGCTACCGGTTCTGCTGAACTGGTGCAAACCGGCTGAATCCCTCCACTGCCCCAGGGTCACCTGAATAGTGCAAATGGGTATGGAACCTTCTTGGGACTACTGAAAAGACCATGTTGTAAACTGGAGAGAGGTGGCGTTGTGTCCCTCGCCCTCTGTTGAGAGAGGGCTGTTCAGTTTTGACCTAGATGGCCTCTTTGACCCCGCTTTCAAACCAGCGGTCCTCTCTGTCCAGAATGTGGACTTTGCTGTCTTCAAAAGACTGGCCTTTGTCTTTCAAATGCAGTTGGACTGGTGAATCTTGTCCTGGTGGGTTTGTTCTCCTATGTCAGTGGTGGCAAACCTATGGCACGCGTGCCAGAGGCGGCACTCGGAGCCTTCTCTGTGAGCACATGCACCGTTGCCCCAGCCCCACCTCCCCCCATGGCCCCCTCCTCACCAGCAGCCCCCCTGGAGGAGAGTCACCCCCGAGTGTGGCCCATGCAGAGCAGCACAGCCAAGGACATGGCAGTTGGGCAATGGGGACAAGACTCTGCCCTCACAGCCTGTCACGTGCAGTTGATGCTGCGGGGCGCGGGCAGAGGGCGTGGCTGCCATGGCACTGCTGGACCACCTGGGCAATCTGCAGCAGGCCGTGGAGGCAGTGGGTGGCCCTTCGGGCGAATGGGGCGGGGTGGAGCAGGGGTGGAGCATGTGGGGTGGGGTGGAGCGGGCAGAGAGGGGAGTAGAGTGGGGGGCGGGGACAGTTTTGGGGCACTCAGTCTCTAAAAGGTTCGCCATCACTGTCCTATGTTGTGCCAGGCGTTTCAATCCTTCTATCCTCCGCCATTCAGTCAGAACTGAAGAAGCTTGTTGGATGAGAAGCGAAATGTCTTCAAAGAAAACCAAAGAAAGCACCTTGAGGACAACCGTTGCCTTGCAGTTGTTCAACCGGTTTGCCAATCTTTAAGGGGTAAGGGGAGGAGAAAGACCCTCACCTTTTCCCCTTTTATCCTCAGGGGCAGTCCTAGGAGACACTTCGAGGTCAGGGTGGTAGTTTTTTTTTTTTCAAGGGTGAATGCTGAGCTTTGAGTGACACCCTTAACAGAATAACAGAGTTGAAAGAGACCTAACAATATTGATTGGTTTATATTATTATGTATATTTTTAATTTGTTTATGTTTATGTTATAAGGGAGTCAAAGTGCGTTATGGACTTGGTTACTTGTATAGTTGGGTAATGTTTTTTTTAGAGTTTGATTTATTTATTTATTTATTTATGAGACTTATATACCGCTTTAAGTGCAAGCACTCTCTAAGCGGTGTACACCAGTAAGCAATGTGTGTGTGTATATATATATATATATATATATATATATATATATATATATATATATATATATATATATATATATATATATATATATATTTACATTGCCCCCAACAATCTGGGTCCTCATTTTACCTACCCCAGAAGGATGGAAGGCTGAGTCAACCTTGAGCCGGTGAGATTTGAACCGCTGACCTGCTGAACACAGTCAGCTCAAGTGGCCTGCAGTACTTGTTTATTTGTAACCCTGTACTCAGCTCTGGGAAGTGGGGAAGGGGGGGTAGGGGTGGGTGGGTCTTGGGATGTATATTGTATAAAACTTTTCAATTAAAAAAAAAAGAAAGGGACCGTGGAGTTTTTCTAGTTCGCCACCCCGCCTCGCTCAAGCAGGAGACCCTATACCAGGGGTTTCAAACTGCCGCCCTGCAGACCGGATGCATCATGGCGAAACTGCCCCCACCCCGTTTCCAGCAATGGAAAAAAAAGTCACAATACGTCGTGACATGTCACGTGACGTTGCGAGTTTCACACCCCTGAAGTGGTATAGGGCACTTCAGACAAATGGCTGTCCAATCTCTTCTTAGAAACCTCCATTGTTGGGGCACTCACAATGTCTAAACCGCTCGCCTCCAGAAATCGTGGGCGCTCCATCACTGGATATTTTCAAGAAGAGACTGGACATTCACCTGTCTGAGATGGTGTAGGTTCTCTTGCTTGAGCAGGGGGCTGGACTAGAAGACCTCCAAGGTCCCTTCTGACTCTATTCTATTCTATTCTATTCTATTCTATTCTATTCTATACTATTCTATTCTAATTCTAATTCTACTCTACTCTACTCTTCTCTACACTGCACTCTACTCTATTCTACTCCCTACTCCACTCCACTCCACTCCACTCCATTCCATTCCATTCCACTCCACTCCACTCCACTCTACTCTACTCTACTCTACTCTACTCTACTCTACTACCCACTCCACTCCACTCCATTCCATTCCATTCCATTCCATTCCATTCTATTATTCTATTCTATTCTATTCTATTCTATTCTATTCTACTCTACTCTACTCTACTCTACTCTACTCTACTCTACACTCTACTCTACTCTACTCTACTCTACTCTATACTCTACTCTACTCCCCACTCCACTCCACTCCACTCCACTCCACTCCATTCCATTCCACTCCATTCTATTCTGTTCCCTATTCTATTCTATTCTATTCTATTCTATTCTATTCTATTCTATTCTATTCTATTCTATTCTATTCTACTCTACTCTACTCTCTACTCTACTCTACTCCCCACTGCACTCCACTCCACTCCACTCCATTCCATTCTATTCTACTCTACTCTACTCTACTCTACTACCCACTCCACTCCACTCCACTCCATTCCATTCCATTCCATTCCATTCCATTCTATTCTATTCTATTCTATTATTCTATTCTATTCTATTCTATTCTATTTTATTCTATTCTATTCTATTCTATTCTATTCTATTCTACTCTACTCTACACTCTACTCTACTCTACT